CCTGGAGAAAATGGCCACTTTGGAAGGTGGACTCTGTGGCATCATACCCCACTGAAGTCCCTCCCCTCCATAAGCTCCACCCTCCCCAGGCTCCACCCCCCAAATCTCCGGGTATTCCCCAACCAAGAGGTGGCAACCCTGGATTAAGAAACAGTGCAGGGAAGGATGGATTAACTCCTCCTGCTCCAGTGCTGTGGAGCAGTTCCTTTTTTCCATTAAAGTAAAAGTACGTGTCGGTCAGGCTGTGATTCAGTGGCAGAGCACCTCCTTTGCCTGCAGAACGTCCCAAGTGCAATCCCCGTCATCTCCAGTTGAAAGAATCAAGTAGGAGAAGTTGTGAACGACCTGCACCAGAGACCCCGGAGAGTCACTGCCAGTCAAAGTAGGCAGCACTGTCCTGATACACCAGTGGGCTGGCTCAGTTCAAGGCAGGATTGTGTGTTTAAGGAAATGTTAGGGTATTTATGGTCAGAAGATCTCGCCATGTGACATTTGACTGTGCTGAGACATTATGACTGTGCTGTGACTGAGTTACTATCATATGGTAGAACAGCCAGATATATGCTAGGGTTTTACTTACGAAGTAAGTTCTGGTGTTTCTGTTAGACATGTTACCTTGAGGCTTCATCAGTTTTCTTATGATTTGCTTTCACCTCTGCCAAGCTTTCTTTTTCTGCATGAGAACTTAATTCTGGAAAGTTGCCTATTCAGAATTGAGGATTTTATATTTTAAAAAAGCTAATACAAAGCAGAACTGGATGGAGATTCCAACAGTGGGCTACGAGTAATTCGTAACCTCATTTGAGATGGGTGGCATCACAATAGTTTTTTGGACAACGTGGATGACTGTGAGAGCAGGCATCCAGTGAAAAGCGGAAAGGACAAATACAGAAAGAAGTAGTAATGGGGGAGGGTAGATCTAGTAATTGATTGATAGACTAAATGTTGAAATAAGGTTCGATTCAAAATTCCGTATGCTATTTTAATTTTATTTCGTGTTTCTCCTTCCCTTTGTTGTAAGGTGAGAGATTAAAAGGTCAGCGATCGTTTCCTGTGCAGTGGAGCGCACCGGAAAATTGTGGTGTTTTAGTATTTCTGGCATGTATCCCACATGCCAGTGATTCCTGCCAATTCTCCCCTCCCACTGAATTCCCCCTCTTTTATCCCGTTGCTGTTCCTGAGGTTCTGCTGATCCTTTGGAATGAAATTTCAGGGGATTTGGTGGACTGCAGCAGGAGGGGGAAGTGCGAATCCTGCTCCATGAAGTCCACAGATGGTTGGATATGTGCCAATATGTTGATTAAAAAATGAACAGTCGAGCGGGAGATACAGCAGCAAGCACATAGGCAGGATCAACTACATTGCAACACTCTGAAATCCTAAAAAATGAAAGTTTCTTCCCGTGCAACCTGCTCACTATTCAGTTTTCCCATAGTACACACAAGCAGAGTAGATTGGAGCCCCATTATTACTTAGGACCCACACTGAGCCAAGACTTTACTTATGATGGTCCATTCTGGTGTCATGATGGTCTCTTGGGCAGCAAGGGAGACTTGCAAAAACAGAAGAGAGAAAAGGACAAGGGGGAGACAAGAAGGAGGAGGAGGATTGGATTGGATTGATACCCCACTCTTCACTTGGAGTCTCAGAGCAGTTTACAATCTCCTTCCCTTGCTCTCCCCACAACAGACACCCTGTGAGATAGGTGGGGCTGAGAGAGCTCTGAGAGAACTTGTGACTGACCCAAGGTCACCCAGCAGCTGCATGTGGAGGAGTGGGGAATCAAACCCGCTTCTCCAGATTAGAGTCCACCGCTCTTAACCACTACACCAGACTGGCTGTCAGACAAATATAGAAAATAATGTTAGGTACAAAATTAAAACTGAGTCTCTATATTCCAGAGTTGGTTGTATATTGTCCTGTAACCTGCCTTGAGTCTTATACCTTCTGGTATGCCCCTTGCCTTCCTGGCTACGTATATCTACCAGGCAGGGACTGGCTGATAGGGTCTGAGAGGCAGTTAATGCCTCCTTGAGTGAAGAGGAGGTCAACCCAGCCTTGAAACATGCTGTGTTGCATCCACTTATAAAGAAGACTACCTTGGGCCCAGGAGGTCTCAGTAACTATCAGCCAGTCGTAAATGTTCTATTCTTGATCAAGGTGATTGAATGGGTGGTGGCTAGACAACTGCAAGCATTCCTGGGTGAAGCAGATTGTTTGGATCCTTTCCAATCTATTCCTGGTTATGGGATTTAAACAGTCTTAGTCACCCTGGTAGGGGGCTGCGGTGGCTCAGTGGTTAAGATGCTGAACTGCAGACCAGAAGGTCAGTAGTTCAGCAGTTTGAGACCCTAGTGCCGCATGACGGAGTGAGCTCCCGTCTCTGGTCCCAGCTCCTGCCAACCTAGCAGTTCGAAAGCAAGAAATTGCAGGTAGATAAATAGGTACCGCTACGGTGGGAGGGTAACAGCATTCCGTGCACTGCGGCGTTTAGTCATGCCGGCCACATGACCACGGAGAAATCTTCAGACAACACTGGCTCTTCAGCTTGGAAATGGAGATGAGCACCGCCCCCTAGAGTCGGATCCGAATGGCTTTTGAGCAAGGGAAACCTTTACCTTTACTGGTCACCCTGGTAGATAGCCTGGGCTGACAGAGGGATTCTTCTGGACCTCTCAGCACAGTTGCCAGACCTTCTTGTCCGGCGGGGTTCACCCATTTTGGGGGGGTGTTCAACCCACTGCCAGCCATGTGACCAGTGGGGGAAGCCCTTCCCCCAAACCTGAACACCCGCAGCCGCCCCTCTCCCTCTCTTTTGAGGGAGAGGGGCAGCTGTGGGCCACATGCCTGAATTCCAAGTGGGCCAGCTGCAAGCACTTAAAGGGACCCCCTTTCAGAAAGTGGTGCTGGGAGACTGCTACTCAGCCTCTTGGCCTTTGGGGTCCCACAAGGATCCATCTTGTCCCCTATATTCTTCAACCACTGGGTGAGGTTATCAGGAGATTTGTGTTGGGTTGTCACCAATATGCAGAGGACTCTCAGCTTAACCTTTGCACTTCAGACTGTTTCCAGGGAGGCTGTAGAAACTCTGAACCAGTGCCTAGCCCTAGAGGAAGTTTTAGAGTGGATGCAGGCAAATGTACTGACGCTTAATTAAAACAAACGGACGTGCTACTGGAGAGCGGAAGGTCAGACCTGAGATTTAAGGTCTCACTTGTTTTGGGTGGCTTTACACTCCCCTTGAAGGGACAGGTCTGGAGCCTGGGAGTGCTCTTGGACCCAGGGCCTCCTGCTTGATAAGCAGGTGGCACCAGTGGTCAGAAGTGCATGTTAATTAGCTTTGACTGGTTAGCCAGCTGTGGTCTTTCCTGGGCAGAAAAGTTCTGGCCACTGTGGTGTACTCATTGGTTACATCTAGATTAGATTGCTGCAATGCACTGCACATGGGGCTCCCCTTGAAAAGTATTCAGAAACTTGAGTTGGTGCAGAATGGTCCACCCAGGATGTTGACTGGAACGGGTCACAGGGACCATATCACTCTATTCTTGGCCTCTCTACATTGGTTTCCAATCTGTGTCCATGTACAATTCAAGGTGCTGGTGTTGACCAGCATACCTGAAGGACCACCTCCTCCTTTATGAACCTACCTGACCACTGTAATCAACTTTTGAGGCCCTGCTTCAGGTGACCCCACCTTCTGAGATTAGGTGGGTGGCAACCTGAGACAGGGCCTTCTCAGTCATGGCACCAGAACTCTATTCCCAAGGAGACGTATCTGTCTCCTTCTGTTGCTGTCTTTTGCCAGCGGACGAAGATGTTTCATTTGAAGTTCCCTCAGTGACCCCTCCTTCTTACTCAGTGTTTTAATTGCTGTTTTTATGTTTTTGTACATGTATTTTAGCTCTAGTTTTAATTGTTTTAATGAAGTGTTTTTGTTGGTTTTAATGGTTTTTAAGATGTGATTTCATTATGCATGTTTTTTGTTGTTAGGCACCTTGATGGCCCTAATGAGAGCAGAAAGAGTTTAAATTCTGTAAAATAAAATTAAAATTTAAAAAATGTTGACATTTAGAGCTCAGAACCATTGTCCTTCCACAAAAACATCCTGTAAATGAGCTATGGGGAATGTTTCTCTAGAATGTTGGTCATTTTCTACATGCATTTTTCAAAATACGCTGTACTCTGTGTCTGTCTTAGGGGGTATCCTTTCACTCTCCATCAGTGACTGACCCGACTCTTACTGCAGAAGCTCTGGATCAGACCATTGCTGGCTTTGACACCGTGGAAGAACTGCTCAGGCACTTTAATCCAGACACTTGGCAAGAAGATCTCGAGACTCTGTACACAGACACTGCCCAGTACAGAGGGAGGAACTTCTACGAAAGGAAGTCAAAAGGTAGGCATGGGAAAGCACTGGAGTGGGGTGCGGTGGGGTGGTTTTTCTGACTTTGACATAGCACTGATACAGCACTTCTTTTCAAACTGCTGGGCAGTCAAGACATTTCAAGCATAGGAAGCTACTGCTCAATGGCTCCAAAACAAAAAAAGAGTGGGGGTGATTTCTCACTAGAGCTGCCTCGCAGCGTTTGCTCCAACACAAACATGTCAATTTCACACCCGAGGCTACGGGGCTGCATTTGACCCGCGGCTTCGCCCGATTTCCTCCGCAGTTTCATGATCCTCAGAAACCAGGATCACAAAACTGCGAAGGAAATTGGGCAAAGCCTCGAGTCAAAATGCAGCCCCGGAGCTTCGGGTGTGAAATTGACATGTTTGTGTCAGGGCAAACGGCAGCTGTGCTGCGAGGCAGCTCTAGTGAGAAATCGCCCTGGGATTTGACCATGCAAGTTTTGCTTTTATTTTATTGAAATGTTTGTACCGCATTATTCAGCAATTTGTTTTCAGGGCAGCTTACACAGAATACAAGCTTAGCAATTAACCCCAGTCCCCCAGTTTCCTGGGCTGTTGCTGTCCCCGCTGCTCTCCTCTGAGGCTGTGACCTTCTGAAAACTAGTCTGCTGGAGGTTGGCTTTGTTCCAAAGGTTAGGCTCAACTATGGCTAGGGTTGCCAGCTCCGGGTTAGGAAATACTTGGAGAATTTTGGGGAGAAGCCTGGGGAGGGGAGGGACCTCAGCAGGGTACAATGCCAAAGAATGCACCCTTTGAAGCAGCCATTTTCTCCAGGGGAACTGATCTTGGTCATCTAGAGACCGATTGTAACAGCAGAAGATCTCCAGGTGCCAACTGGAGGGTGGCAGCCCTACCTGTGGCCAGATGGCTGCTCTTTCCAAGTAGCAGCAACATTGGGAGGTTCCGGGAGGGGCAATGGCCTCACAAAATGTTAGAAGCCCTCATGCCACGTTGTGAGAAGAGAGATAAAATATGTACAGCCTGAAGTGTCAATGGGCAGAGAGAACATGTGTAAAGTATGAGGCATCTCTGTATTACGAGCTTAGATTGCTCTATACTGGCATAACTGACATGGCTTCCCTCAAAGCAAGCTGGGAAGTACAGTTTGTTGAGAGAAGCAAGCTGGGAAGTACAGTTTGTTGAGAGAAATAAGGAATACTCTGGTTTCTCTTCAGATCGCATAAACAAAGAGAAATAGGGATTCTCTGACAGCGATCCCTAGCCCAACTTCAGTAGAACAGGAACTCCCTAAGAAGTAGAGCTGACTGTTAAACCGCTTACATTTGTAGTGTAGCTATTCCCTAAGGGCTCCAGCCACAACAGAGAATTGAAGTTTCTGACAAGTGTACCCATTGGTAAAAGAAACAAGAAGATTCCTCGTGAGAGTAACCTTGAAGTCCTGATTCTCAGAGTAACCTCAGAGTTCTGATAGCCCGGACAAGCCCAATCTCATCAGATCTCGGAAGCTAAGCAGAGCTGACCCTGCAAATAATTGGAAGGGAGACCTCTGAGGAATACCAGGGCTGGGACGCAGAGGCAGGCAATAGCAAGCCACCTCCCTGAAACGTCCGAGCCCCACTAGAGGTCACCAGAAGTCAACCATGACTTCCAGACACACACACACACTCATACTCACTCATAACAAAAAGAATTATGACTTCATTTGTTGTTATAGAAATCGAAGTGCTATAAAGCATTCTTGCTGAATGTTAATTTATTTTGAGTTGGTTTAATGGAATTTCGTATCCATTTATAGCGCTGTATTATATTGTATTGTGGCAGTCCCTCTCAGGCAAAAATAATTAAAACGAATGGTTAAAAACAACAGGATGTTGAGAAGGAGTAATGAAAGAATGCTTTCTTAAAAAGAAGAGTCAACAATCCATTGAGTAGCATGCGCACAACAGGAAAAACTGACGGCCTTCCCTTTCCATTACCCCTATGATTGCTACTCAGTGAAGTGTTCTTTTCTAGGATCCATTCTCAGGACCTATTTATTGAAATCACGTACGGCCTGCCATTCTCCCCAGTGGGGACCCAAAATGGTCTACATCATTCTCACTTCCATTTTATCCTCTCCACAACCCTGTGAGGTGGTTAGATTGAGAGAGGGTGACTGGCCCAAGGTCACCCAGTGAGTTTCCATGAAGTGAACAGGGATTTGAACCTTGGTCTCCCAGATACTGATCTGACACTCTTAACCACTACACCGCACTAACTAGATGATACACTGAGAGTTTGATGTGGTGGTTAAGTGTGCGGACTCTAATCCCTACTCCTCTACTTGCAGCTGCTGGATGACCTTGGGCAAGCCATAGTTTTCTCAGAGCTGTTCTGGAAAGAGCAGTTCTGTCAAGAGCTCTCTCAGCCCCACCTACCTCACAGGGTGTCTGTTGTGGGGAGGGGAAGGGAAAGGAGTTTGTAAGCCGCTCTGAGACTCTGAGTGAAGGGTGGGATATAAATCCAATCTCTTCTCTTCTCTACTTTCATGAACAGCACCCCACAGGTTGTTTTAGATCAGAAAAAGATTAGGGGGTTTAGCCCTCCCTCCCCTCTGGGATGGTCTCTATCTGAACCAGGCAGCCTCAGACCTGCTAATTGCATAGTAAAGGTAAAGGTTCCTTTGCTCGAAAGCCAGTCGAATCCGACTCTAGGGTTGCGGTGCTCATCTCCGTTTCAAAGCCAAAGAGCCAGCGCTGTCCAAAGACATTTCCGTGGTCATGTGGCCAGCATGACTAAACACCAAGGCGCACGGAACGCTGTTACCTTCCCACCGAAGTGGTACCTATTTATCTACTTGCAATGTCTTGCTTTCAAACTGCTAGGTTGGCAGGAGCTGGAACTAAAGATGGAAGCTCACTCCGTCATGCGGCACCCGGGTCTCGAACTGCTGAACTACTGACCTTCCACAGCCTGCAGTTCAGCGTCTTAACCACTTGAACCACCGCAGCATAGGCTGGTGGAATTACAAATGGCAGGACTCTTCTTGAGATATGTCACTGCTTAGCCTTCGGTTGGCTCACGCTGAGACAACAGTGTAGCATAAATCCGGTTCGAAATGACAGGGGAGATGTATGAAGGCAGATTCATTACTGGCTCGGTTCCATTGATTTCAGGAGATCTGCACCCATTTATGACAGCAGTAATTTCATTCTGCTTGGACTGCTTGACCCTTCTTTCTTTGAGGTAATTGGCATGCCAGCTTAAATGACTTGCCATCTCATCGCTTGTGGACATTGACAATTGCAAAGAAAATCCCAGCTCTCTCAGTCTTTCTTCTGAAAAAGCAATCTCTTGTGTCAGGGAAACTTTACCTTGCATCTGTACTTCAGCCACAAGCACACGTAGACACCCCACATGGACACAGACACACTTCTGCATCTCCCTTGAAGAAATGACATGTTTTAAGGAAGGGGGATCTATAGATTGTGGAGAATCTAGAGATTCTGGATCTGTAGAATCTGGAGATTATTATGGCTCCACAGGGAAGCGACTATTGAGGTTTGGTCTAATTGTTAATTTGCGTGGGATCTTTCCAGACAACATTGAGTTGCAGTTCTGCTGGTACAGCAAGACTGTGGGTTAGGGAGGGTCATCCAGCCACCTGGATGCAGAATCTGGCCCTTGGAGAGCTTCCTGTCTCCCCTCCCTCTCATTATGTTCTTCCACTTCTTTCTTCTGCCAGAAGCTTAGATCTTTGTAACTCCTGCCTCCAGGCTTGGAATGAGGAAGCTCCCATTAGATCTCTCCCTGTTTTTGCACTTCAATGGTCTGCTTTCCTACAAGACCCAGACCAGAAAATAGGAACTGAGCAGCCAATAAGAACAAGATGCACTCCAACAGAGTCTCTGTTGTGGTTCGCAGTGAGAAAACAAGGATTAAAGATTCCTTCTGTGGGAGGAAGTCAGTGGGTAGAGCCAATGTTTCTGGCTCTTCGGCTCTTGTTCGCTTAAAAAATATGGCTGCACTTAAAAGTTAGTGGCCAACCGGGGCTGTGGGGAAATGCAAATTTTTGCTGGTGGAGCCAGTTTGGTCAGACATTTAATGTGATTAACTGAAGTATTCCTGATCCCTGAGAAAACAAGGCTATCAGGATGATCTCATAACTCTGTCTCTGGCCTGATATAGGAGGAGTTTCCTGGAAGAGAAATAAAGGTGGACAAAGTTAAACACCAAGTGGATGAGCTTAAACAGGCTGAGCTGAATCCAGAAAAGACAGAGGCAATGATAGAAGGAGAACCCAGGTTTTGGATACGGTAGCCTGCCTGTCATAAATGGAGTGGTCAGGGCTTTTTTTGTAGAAAAAGCCCAGCAGGAACTCATTAGCATAATTGGCCACACCCAACAGCAGAAACTCATTAGCCTATTAGGCCACACCCCTGAAAGCACAGCTCATTAGCATATGAGGCCACACCCCTGTGTTACCAGAAGTGTGCTCATCCAGCCACACCCACCTTTTGCTTCTTATTCTGTTTACCTTGTTTGTTGTCAAAACCCAGGGCTTTTTTTTTAGCAGGAACTCCTTTGCATGTTAGGCCACACACCCCTAATGTAGCCAATCCTAATGAGTTCCTGCTGTTGGGTGTGGCCTATTATGCTAATGAGCCTGCTGGGTGTGGCCAACTTGGGAGCCAGCCGGAACTCCGTTCCTGTGCGTTCCTGCCCAAAAATAGCCCTGGGAGTGGTTATATCCATATCTGAACAGGCCCAAGACCTAAGGAATAGTCCTTGATAAACCAATAATAGTGTTGGCTGTGATGCCCTTTCTCAGCTGCAAAACTTCACTGTAGCTCTGGGATTGGCAATGTTTTTGACTCAAGTGCCAGAAGAAATCTGCAATGTCATAAAGACATAAGAAGAGCCCTGCTGGATCAGACAAGTGGTCCATCTAGTCCAGCATCCTGTCTCACACACTGGCTAACCAGTTCCTCTGGAGGTTCAGCAACAGAGCTCAGAGGCCAAGGCCTTCCCCTGATGTTGCACCATGGCACTGTTATTCAGAGATTTACTGTCTCTGAATGGCGAGGTTCCCTTCAGTCATCATGGCTAGTAGCCACTGATAGACCTGTCTTCCATCGAACTAACATGGAAGGAAGGAAGGAAGGAAGGAAGGAAGGAAGGAAGACTGTACCTGGACAGATGCACTGTGACCCAGATGGTGGCTGTGTGGATCTGGCATAAGGCATACCCACCAACATCTCTTTATGCCACTAGCCTCAGTGGTATCGCCAAGGCTTCAAGGATCGCTTGGGCTGAGAACTGGCCCTGAGTGTGAGCTAAATGATCTAGCAGGCCACTGTTTGGCACACATGCCAGAACTGCCTACTGCTGCTTATACCTCGTAAGGTCAGGTGTGGACCTCCCTTTCTAAGTTTCATAAAAGCTATGGCCCAAATATGTCATCAGGCTTGTAGATACTAGATTATTGTCAGGTTGTTCAGCTTGTTTTTTCAGTGCATACTGCAGTCGTTGTTTTTAATTTTTTTAAAGATGTCTGTATTTCATCATGCTTTCAAAAATGTTTTTACACTCCATGTTATGTAGATACGAGGAAAGCAGTGCAAAAACAAATTAGATTCTCCAGGCTCTTAACCCACTGAAGATGCTACCAGCCACTGATTTGGGGTAGTTATACAGTGCTGTCTAGTGGCCACAGGTATGGCCAGAACACAATAATAGTGGCCACAAACGAGGGCAGAAGTTGTGTGACCTCAGCCAGTGAAACCACAGATGTTTTCAGAGGCACAGTTTTGCAAAAGCACGAGCGTTTTAAGACACTTTGGGAAACTCCTCTTCTTTATAAGTGGAATTACCTTGAAGGGTGATGCCAGAGAGTCTGTGGATCTGAAGAATGACAACAGCCAACAAAATTGCATCTGTGCCCACAAAGAAATCGATAGTTTTTCTATTCTCCTCAGCCTTTGCAGTGTACACTAGGGTGACGTTCTCTACTCAGGCTTGAGTGCACTAGTAACTCTCATTGATTTTGTAGTTAGATCTGGAGCAATACATACTTATTTGTAGAGATACTTGCTCTCAGGGGGAAATAGGTAAACATTTATGGGGAAATGTTGCACTTTTGTTTTGGTTAAACGTGCTGTATATGTTATATATGTCATGCGCTGATGGGTGGAGACTCTGTACAACTTCCCCCAACCCTCCTCTCTCCAGAGTTTACTAGAAGTTGCTCCCATTCTTTTTCAGAATAACTTTGTAGTTGTAAAGAGGGGAAGTCTCCATTTTTCTGAATCCGTTGGCAAATAGACATCCTGGAGGGAATTATATTGCCCGGTTTGTCTCTTTTAACAGATGCAACTGGAGAGCCAGTTTGGTGTAGTGGTTAGGAGCATAGAGTCCAATCTGGGAGAACTGGGTTTGATTCCCCACTTCTCCACATGCAGCTGCTGTGTGACCTTGGGTCAATGACAAGTTGTCTCAGAGCTGTTCTCTCAAGGGCAGTTCTTTCAGAGCTCTCTCAGCCCCACCTACCTCACAGGCTGTCTGTTGTGGGGAGAGGAAGGGGATTGTAAACTGCTCTGAAACTCCACGTGAAGGGCGGGGTATAAATCCAATCTCTTCTTCATCGTCTTCAAATAATCTCTCTCTCCCTCCCTCTGTCTCCCCCCACCTTCTAGTTGACCTGGACAGGCTAAATGATGATGTGAAACGTTACAGTTGCACGCCAAGGAACTATTCTGTCAACATCAGGGAGGAGCTGAGGGTGACCAACGCCGTGTTCTTTCCACGCTGCCTTCTTGTCCAGCGCTGTGGTGGAAACTGTGGCTGTGGTTTTACACACTGGAAATCCTGCACGTGCACACCAGGAAAACTAGTGAAAAAGTATCACGAGGTACTATTTTATTGGTGGGCATTTCCATTCTCACTTTTCTTTCATTTGCAGAACTCAAGACGGGTTACATGCAATACCAGGTCCCTTTCAGTGACTCCCCAGGGCCAGGGAGTTAATTTATGCATGTGTACCCTTGTCTACCATCAGCTCAGGGTCAAACCACATATCAGGGCCGGCATCAGCATACCCTCAAGTGGGACAGCTGCCAGGGCTTCTGGCAGGACCCACTGTGCCCGATCCCCACAACATACCATTTCCCTGTGCTTTGCCACCCATGTGTCCAGCTGCACATCAGGGAAAGGGCTGTAGGCAGTGCAGGTGGCTGTGAACATGGGCAGCAGGAGGGCTTGTGAGCTGGGTAGGGAGGGATGACAGACAGGTAGTGAGAGACATGGGTGAGAGGGTGTGAAGGGGCCCCCAGGAATTCTGTGCCCCAGGCCCCCCAAAATCTGGAGTCGGCCTGCCACACATATTGTGTGATCACGGTTTCTGGTCTTTTTTCCTTAAAGGCAAGAGTAGCTTTGTGCACATGTGGGAGGAGGTAATTCAGATTGGATCTCTAGAACAGAGATTTCCTTTGATTATCTCTTCCCTCTATATAGCCCTGGTCTCTGTACATGTAAACTCTTTTCATAAGAAGGGTAAAAATCTCTCTCATACCCCCAGCTGCTTGCAGAGAAGAACAGGGACCTGGATTCTATTGCCCTTCCTGGCCACATATCTGATCAGTGAGATTTTAAGCTTTTAAAGGCATGTTCATAAGTAATACATTTATAGATTAGGGAGCTTATTGCTATTCCAGTTGATTTAACTGGTGGGGGGAGAGCAATTTCTAGCGGCATTATAAAATAACTGCATGGAGATGAGCAAATAAAAATGTTCTGCCTTGGTTTGTAGGGAAGGGGAAATCCTTCTATAGCACCCAAATGTTAATGCAGTTTATGAGGATTTATGGTGGGTGTTAAAGGTGTTCCCAACTGCTGTCATGTCAGGATAACAGATTTTTAGACTCTTGGGCTGCCACCAGTTGCAAAGATTTGTGTTCCATGGGAATGACAAAAATTCACTCACCAAGTCTCCCTCATTGCTATTAATTCTTTCCCATTCCTTTTATCTCATGTACCGGAATTAATTAAGGACAATGTTCCAGCTTTAGCTATGAATGACCTGGCTTTTGTAAATGTAAATGTAAATGTATCCCTTAGGGATGAATTAGCCACACAATGAACAGAAATTTAGACATTAGCATTAATAGGTGCTGTGAAGATAAATCTGTATAGGGTACATCAAAGCTGAGATTGATATTGGCCCACTGTACTCTTCCTGAGCAAGATTCTTTAATTTTTCTGTGTCTAGGGCTAGCTGTTCACCACTGGCTTTGTTCCACATGTATCAAGCCATTTAAAAAAATTGCTGTCAGCAGAAGGCACAGGTGCAGATGAAAAAGATTCCTCTGCCGTTCTTGATGTAAAACCAGCTTGATCCTTCAGCAAGGGCACATAGCACAAAGGACTGTATGACCTGAGAATTCACATAGAAGATGGCATTTCTCAGTGCACCTCATGCCACAAGGAGTAGGGTAGATGTAGGATGGGCCTCCTTCCTGAGGGGCTAGCTTTCTACTTACATGGAGCTGGCCTAGGGCTGGAAATAGGTTGCCAGGCAGTGCCAACTGGCAACCGCTGGGTGGGTTGTGAGTGAGAATATGGGGGGGAGGCCCACCAGCTGCAGTGTTATGTCATTTCTGATAAAAAGCTCGAAGTGACATAGGGTCGCTCTAGGAATCACCAGAAACTCTGTTGTGGCTGCTTTTGCACAGACGGAATAATGCACTTTCAATGTGAAATAGGAAAACCCAGTTGCAAATGATTGCTAAAGTACATTGAAAATGCATTTAAAGTATCTGATCCAATGTGGGTGAAAGCAGCCTATGGTAAAACCACAGCATTTCCAGCAATTCCTAGAGTTACCCTGTGTCACTTCTGGGTTTTTAACCAGAAGTGATGTCTTGTGAGCAAAAATGATACTTTGCGAGCTACTGGCACTGAAGTTGTGAGTGAGTGATTTGCCTACTGCATAAATTAGTTTTCTCTGGAGCCATCCTCCCTGAGCTAAGACAAAAATGTGTGAGCCGGAGGCTACAAAACTGTGAGCTAGCTCACACTCACTCAGCTTACAGGGAACACTGGCCGTGTCTGACTGTAGCTAAGGCAGTGGCCCTGGGAGCAACTGACAAGTTTCAGGGGGACCCATTGGCTGCCAGTAGGACTGCCAGGTTGCCTGCCATGGTAGGCAGCCTCCACTCTAAGGGTCCCTGTTCCCGTTGCCACTCGGTGGAGCAGCAGGATCAAAATGGGAAGGGAACTGGCATCACTGAAACCATGATGTCACATCCAGTTTCAACTCCAGAAGTGACATCACAGTGTTGCATGAGGCTCTAAAAAATTCCCAAATCTCTATGGTTTTTACCATACAGATTACGGGAAAGAATTGACTCTGTGTTTAAAGCCAAAGAATTCCTAAAGATTCAGCTGGGAAAGGGAGAGGAAGAAGGAAAAGACGATGACAACAGCTTGAGTGGCGAATTGGAAACGGAATCTTCTGGAGAAGACTCTCTGGCGAAGCAATGTGCTGCTGCTCCAAAAAGTCCCTATAAACTGAGGAAGAGACAAAGAAAAGAGAAATAGAGGCTGAAGGACTCTGAAATGTGCCTTGAAGTAAATGATGTAAAAATGTGATGATGGGGGTATGGTTTCCAAGCAGTTAAATTTGTTAAAGAAAAGTGAAAAGGTGTGAAAAACTTGACTCAATTCATATTGACTTAAACAAGTTATGATTTACTGTAACTAAGCTTTTTTGAGGATCTCCTCTCTTAGGTTTTTAAGTATTCGTTGGTTTCTTTCCTTTTTCCCAATATATGTAGTACCCCATCCCTATTATTTTCTGTAGTATTGTAGATTTATAAAAATAATTTAAAAAATCCCCTCCGGGGGCTTCAAACAAACAACAACCATACAGATTAGGGGAAATCAAAGGGCATTGGTGACACCATGATATTAATTCAGTTGGCCACTGGTGAGACAGGATGCTGAACTAGATGGACCACTGGTCTGATTCCACAGAGCTTTTCTTATTGTTCTTGTTCATTCTGGAGCTCCTCAGGAGTCCACAGTTCTCATAAACACTATGTTTAGCAGCCCAGTAGCTGTGGCTCAGTAATGACTACTGAGGAATTGCACAACTTAAAGATTTTCTATTCCTTGGCACAACCATCAACCATTAAGGGAGACTGCATCCAAGAAATCAGAAGGAGATTGAGACTGGAAAGCGTAGCCCTGAAGGGATCCTTAAGTGTAAGGATGTGTCGCTGATGACCAAGATCAAGGTAATTCATACCACAGGATTTTCCATTACTAATTATGGGTGTGAAATTTGGACAATGAAGAAAGCTGACGGAAAGAAAGTTGACACATTTGAAATGTGGTGTTGGAGGAGAGTTTTACAGACACCATGGACTGCCAAAAAGACAAATAAGTGGGTTCTGGTCATTTTATGAGAAGACAAAGAGTCACTGGAAAAGACAATAATGTTAGGAAAAAATGGAAGGCAGCAGGAAAAGAAGAAGACTGACCGTGAGATGGATTGACTCACGGAAACTACAGCCCTCAGTTTGCAAGACCTGAGCAAGGCTGTTAATGATAGAACGTTTTGGAGGTCACAGGGGGTGATTCCACACTAGACCTTAAATCCTGGTTCAACCCTGTCCCCGAACTTACATTCTACACTACACTCGAGTTCACCCCTGTAATTATCTCGGGGTATTTTTTGTTTCCCCTTTACGTTGAGGTCGCCCTAGTTTCGCCCCACACTTGTCCCGGGATAAACAGAGGCTGTTATAACCAGGGATAAATGCGAGGTATTGTGTCGCGAGTTGAACTCTGATAAAACCAGGGATGAGATCCAAGTGCAGAAAGGACTAGGGTCGTCATAAGCCAGGAGCCACTTGATGGCACTTAACACACATAAAAGAGAACGAGTTACCTGTACATAATTGCATTTGTGTGTGTGTAACTCATTATCTTGTGTCTGTGCTAATTGCCATGAAGTCACTCCAGGTTTTGAGTTGAAAGAAAATATGCACAAGCAACACCTGAGTAAAATTAGCACTGAGGTCCCTGTACAGCTGAGTCACTATAGCATGTATACAACAATTCTCAGTATAGTTTTTTTTTAATTTGTTGACTGAAAATTGGACTCATTCCCAAACACACTTGGAGAAAAAAAGAATCTGTGACTCATTTTTAAACTGTTTGGCCCTCAGTGTCATGTTACCAAAGGTGCTTTTTGCAAGCAGAAGAAGTTTAAGTGTTACCAATTGATTAACAGGCAAGTAATTAATAAAAAAATCTTTGCTTGATACAGTCATTTTTGTAAAGACTTTGTTCTCGAGCATTTTTAGCAAGTATGGATCATTCCATATTCAGCTGAATTCTTCACAAGGTCAGCTTGCGTGATGTTGGTGGCATTAAAAGGTGTGAACATTTATCACCGGAGAGGACGTGAGACTGAAGCGCCATTCCTTGTTATCCTTCAAGACACCTTTGAGGCAGAAATTTGGACACCAGCACATTTGTCCATTTCTATATAGTCAGTTAGTCAGTTCTATGAGATCTTTTATAAGGCCATTGTAATCTTTTATATTCCTATAAACATAGTATTTGGCTCAGCAGTAGCATTTCCGATGTCATTTTTTTAAAACATGGCTCCGTATACATGATTGGTTCAGTCTTTCACACTTGAAGAGAAAATGTGAGGAACATTTTCTGGTTTGGCAATGCAGTGTAGTGGTTAGAGTGTTGAGCTAGTATTTGGGAGACATGGATTCAAACCCCCATGTTACTGCGAAGCGCAGTAGGGGACTGTGGGCCAGACATGTTCTCAGAGCCTAACTTACCTCACAAAATGACTGTGAGTATAAAATGGAGGATGAGAGAACCATGTACATTGCCCTGAGCTCCTTGGAGAGAGAACATGATAAAAATATGCTAGATCAGGGGTGTGAAACTCATTTGTTATGTGAACCAGATCTGACATAAATGAGACCTTATTGGGCCGGGCCATGTGTGTCATAAAATGTAATGCCAGGTAGTGGAGATATAAACTTTATAAAGGACACAAACACAAAGGGTTTTTTTTACTTAAAATAAAAACATGCTTAAAATATTAGCACTCTTGCAATGTTTTGTCTGATAACTGCCACCTCTTGCTCTGAATGATTGCATCAAAATGTCTGTGCTATTGCAGTCTTGAGTATGCTGTTCAGGTGTGCATCTGTAAACTGCAAACCTACGATGACGCAGCAGAAGAAGAACTGGAAGAAGAAGCAGAAGACAGCCAATTCCACTGCAGGCCTGATAGAAGTCCTCTGGGGGCCTGAACCGGCCCTCAGGCCGCGTGTTTGACACCCCTGTGCTAGATAGATTTTCTTTCCCCTTTCAATCCTAAGAATACTTTTCTAGGGGTCAACCCCACTGAATATTATGGGACTTACTTCTGAGTATACCAAATTAGGATTGGTCCTGTAGTCTCTCTTCTTTGTCATTGTCCTACAGATGTAAAGCTAATCTACTTCTCCAGAGACCTTCCTAGATTTTTGTTTTTCCTCATCTGGAATTAAAAATGAATCATAGAATCATAAAGTTGGAAGGAACCTCCAGGGTCATGTAGTCCAACCCCCTGCACAATGCAGGAAATTCACAAATACCTCCCCCTCCACACACACAAATTACTCTGTGCCCAGAAGATGACAAAAAAACATCCAAGATGCCCAGCCAAACTGCCTGACCCTAAAGTGGTGATCAACATTTCCCTGGGTGTATAAGAAAGGGCCACAAGAACTAAGCACTGGCAACCCTACCCTCCCATCCCCCCACCGCTGGCCAGGAGGCCTGGCAAACCTATGTGTAGAGGACAGCATGGTGGAGGGAAAACCCTTTTGCTCTCCTGCCTCCAATCTCTGCAAGTTCTGTACAAGGGCCTGTGCATGTACTTCTTCCCACCATGCAACATGTAACCTGGAAAAAAGTAACAGCTAAGTTCATACGTGTAAAGTCCCCATGTACTGTGCAGACAGGAGTGTGGATATGTTGGTGTTGGCCCCGTGGGCATGATCCCAAATCTTTCTCCGAATGTTTGCCTACATCTGCCTTGATGTCATTCCCTATTGGGCAAAGAGCCTCTTTGCATTAGATAGGTTCAGTTCCATACTGCAGATGAATCCAGTAGAACTGAGACTTTGGGCAAGCAGCACATCCTTCTCCTGTAAGTTTCTGCTGTATTTGAGACACACTGGCCTTCCTTTAAAATACCATGAGCATGGCAAATGACCTTTCCCCCCCTCGGGTCTACTGAGTCTAACTCTTAGATGGAAACTAGGACCTAAACTTGAAACATCAGTCTCTTGATCAGTTAGTAAAGCCATCCAATTGCTCAAATTGCTTTGCAGTCTTGGATGAGCAAGTGTCTGGCAACTCATTTCTCTGCTATCAGAAAAGTGCATATACAGTGCTTGTGGTTAAAAAAAAATAGAAAGAAGATGAACTCCCTAACTATCATGCTGTTGGCTTAAGTACAGATGGTATTTTTGCTCTTATCCCACTGGAGTCTGTTGTTTTTTGAAACGGAAACACCCATCACTTTTTTTTAATCATTTCCTTTGCGGTACCACTTCTATTTCCTCAGAACCCCTCCTCAAAGCCTGCTTTTCCAGGAATACTTGGGAACAATCTCCCTGCTCAACTTGAGCTAAGACTTAGCTTATCTTATATTTTAATAGCCAAGTCAGCCAAATATTTGGATAATTAAATCCAGTGACTGGAGCTGTAACCGGGCAAGACAGATTTTGCTACAAACCTGAAAAACTCCTTAAGGTTGCAGAAAAATGTGAAATCTAAAAAAAAATACATGGGGAGAGGTTAATAAAACTGAAAATGATAAAAGGAGTGCCTGTAGCTTTTAAAAACAAAAGTCCTCTGTGGCAGTTGCTAGGCAACCACCACATTCTAGGCTCAGTTTTTGACAGTAAAAGACAAGGGGTGGGAACAGGGCCCTTTCCAGGGCTATTTTAGCCTTTGAGAGAGGATTCACTGGGTCAGGTTCTCTGAAATCCCAGTTTTCATTCTTTAAAAAAGGTAGGTGTGACGGACAGGCTAGGTCCTGCCTCTCTCTAAGAGCAACCAAATGAAAGCTGACAGAATGCTGAGAGAGGGAGACTTGAAAAACAGCCATTGAGAATGACAGGCATTTGCAGCAGAGAAGTTGGCCACTTGGGATTTGAGGGGGAATAAAGGAGGATTTCTGACTGAGTGGAACAGTGCAGAAAAGCTGCCGAGAGCAGGCTGAAAATAGTCAATTTATAATGAAAGTATCCCAGATGCAGGAATACAACTTCAGAAGTTCAGTGGAAGCGAAATGTTATTACTTATACCTATATAGAGAGTCAGTTTGCTATAGTGGTTAAGAGTACGGACTCTAATCTGGAAGAAGCGGGTTTGATTCCCCACTCCTCCACATGCAGCCAGCTGGGTGACCTTGGGTCAGTCACAGTTCTTTCAGAATTGTTCTCTCGAGCAGTTCTCTCAGAGCTCTCTCAGCCCCACCTACCTCTGGTGTGGGGAGGGGAAGGGAAATGAGATTGTAAACCACTCTTTGAGTGAAGGGTGGGGCATAAAACCAATTTCTTCTTCTTAGTTTCCTCAGTGTTATGTTCATACCGTAAATAAAAGTTAACTTCTTGGTTTGGTTTAACCCTGTGGTCTATGGGAAAGAAGCACACACATACACACAATTTAATAATCTCAATGTATACGTATATTATAGGATAGGAATAAATGGCGGCATCAAGTGATTAAAACAGTATTTGAGCCCCAACCCCAATAACTCTGTGTGAGTGAGGGCTTGTTGTTAAAGGGGGCTGGGCTATCCTATCTGTGGGAGTGAGAGGGGGGACCTGAGATGTGAAATGTTCATGCCTCTTTCTGTGTATTTTAAAAGAGAAAAGAAAGCTAGCTGGTGATGTCCTGCCCTACTGATAACCATGAACCTGAGTAAGAGAGATTGGTGAGGGTGGCAGGCACTATGTGTGAGTGGAAGGGGCCATCACAGGAAGTCTCTATCCTCTTCCTTTGTGAAGACGCACCTTTTCCCTTTTATCTCTGCAAGGGAAGGCACTAGAAACTTACTTTTTAAAAAAATGAAAGCTGGGAATTCAGAGAACCTGCGACACCTATCATTATAGTAATAGGTCAATATAACGGTATTGTGACGGGGGGAGGAACTGGCTACTGTGGGGACAGGATCAGAGAAAATGGCTGCCACGTGGACCAGAAAATCTGAGTTTCCCCACCCACACAGCAGCCATCCAGCCTTTACTGCAATCTTTCCCAAAATTTCAGAGCAAAGCAGGCTTGAGAAAGACTGGAGACAAACTGGAGAAACCCCTGGTGGTACGCAAATCTACAACGCCTGTGAAGAAGCAGAACGGAAAAGCCACTTCCCAAAAGCATTGAACTTGGGGCAGATAACCTCTGCGGAAGACCCCTCGTCCTGACAGGTTTTGGACTTAACCATTCCTTTCTCTTCCCAGGTGCTGAGGTTCATCCCTGAAGCGGGTCATATCAGAAGAAGGGGCAGAACCAAGAACAACATGGCGCTGATAGATATTCAGCTGGAGCACCACGAGCGCTGCGATTGTGTCTGCAGTTCAAGGCCACCCCGATAAAGACAGACTCTCGCCATCCTATTTGCAACTGAAAGGACCTCTTTCTCTTCAGGAAAGGGCAGTCTGGGGATCTTCTCCCGCAACCATTAGACTTTGCTGAGAGCTTGCATTGTAACTGGTAGAGAGACATCCGCAGCATTTCAGCCTAAAGTACCAAGTGCCGCGACAGCTAATCAATAATAATGTAGATTTACATACCTAATCCAAATGTGGGATTAAACAATTAAACACAGAAAGGGAAACTCTAGTGCCGAAAACATTAGTGTCTGCAATGAGACCTACCTGCATGTTGGCAATTAAACTTACAGCTGAATTTCGTTTTCAGAATAGTACGTGCCTAATGATAGCAGGGGGCACATGTGCTTGTTTCACATATTCTTACGCACAACTCTTCCTGCAGGTAAACCTTTAAGCACACTTACACCTATGCAAGGGGGGGGGTCCATGACGGCATACTTTGAAAATAGTTAATTTGTAAATTGCAGCCCAATCCAGGATCCAGAAGATATAAAAATTGTGTAGAGTCACTTAGTGGATCCGATGTACTGGGTATGCAAAGTCCAGATTTTGTATTAGGAGCAAGAGACCGCATCCAGCCATAAGCGGATGCATGCCTTACAATAAGCAAACCATCCTATGCAAACCTGTGCATAGCATTGCACACTGAACAGCCGGGAATGCTGGAACATGCCCATAAATATTCTGTTCCTTTGTACAATTTTCTAGGTTGAGGCAAAGAGCTTCCCCAAAGAGCTGGCCCTCCTTACCTCAAAATACAGGTGCACAAAATATGAAAAGAATAATGAAGATTATGAGGGGCAGAATTGTCCGTATGAAATACCTTTTTAAATTGGGCCAGCTACAAATGCGGCCACCTGATGCTGGGGTCCATCCTGAGCACTCTGTTGGCTGCTCTCAGGGCCAGAATAGCAAGTCAAACAATGTCAAGTTTAAGAGGCTCTACAGCATCACCAAAAAAGGAGGGTAATTTAGTACTTTTTAGTTTTAAAAAATGGATTTAGAGTCCCATCATAATCTGAGGCCCTAAACTGTAGTTTACTTAACTTGTTCATAAATCCAGTTCTGAATGCTCTGTTCTCCAAACAGTGATCTAGATGCCACTATATTCCTTTTCATTAGGATGCCACAGTAGATTTTCAGGAGAATGTACGGAAATCTTCAGCTGGTTCTGGAAGCTGCCTGCAGCATCCCTCCCCACCTCCAACATCTACAGGCATCTTCAGAGTTGGACAAAGGCCTCAGTACGCTTCATGTAGTGCTACTAGGCCCCTAGTTGGGGGGAGGATTCCCTGCCCCATTTCCTATTGCCCATCACTGCTTGGGATGGTGGCAAGGGATGAATTAAAAAAAATTAATTTAATTTTTTTTTAAACATCACTGACATTGCAAGCGTCATGATGTGACTTCTGAGTACAATCCAGAAGCCATGGCAGTAACTCTAGGAATCACCAGAAACTCTATGGTAAGACCATAGAATTTCTAGCAATTCCTTGAGCTGCCCATTGTCACTCCTGGGTTGGACCTGGAAATGATGTCATCATGCTTGCTGTACCACCACACCTCCACACTGTCCCCCCACCTTCTTACTGGTTGCCACTCTCAGTATGCCAGCCCTACCTCCATGCAATAAAATAGTGACCCCACAAACATACACAGATATACTAGTGGTGTTGGAATAGGGGCCTCCAAATAGCCAGGGAAGATTTCAGGCACAAAGAAACCCTGGATCCAAATAAACCCCTAAGGTTTTGGGGGAATTTATCTTGTTAGGTAGATAGCCCATAAACCCAGATGTGCAGAATTTTAACCCTCAACCCCATCCCTGGGCTGCACATGTGTTTAAACTGGAGCACCTTAAAATAACTCTTTTTTGTGCATATATATATAAGCAGAAAGCAAAAAGAGTCCTAGCTTTTAGATGACAGATTTAAACATCAGTATTCCCTTAGATACATAAGGAATGCTGCTCTTTTCTCATTATATACAGTAATGCTAGTTAACTGCCTTTACTAGTTTCTGTGAGCAAGGTTATATTGGCACTAAAAGGCAAATCTTTTTGGACTGCATTTTGTGGAGGCCTATTAACTCTTTGCTCATTGCTTGCCTCTTGCCAAACAATACCTAAGCATTTATTATTTTCATGGACTATGGATATTAGTCATTTACTGCCTGCCTTTTGATAAAGATAAAAGAAAGTACCTTAAAAGCTATAGCATAGCCAGCTTCCTGTGCTTAGATCATATTATGGCAAAGTTCTTTGATTAACATATGGAAGAGAATCCTTTCCCGTTAGGGTCTTCTTTTTTAAAAAGCTGTCCAGTACAAAATGTGGGCTGGCTTAGGGCTGAAAGGGAACTGAAATTCTTGATTGTGAATATAATTAAGGAAATAGGATGGAAAGCCACCATAGCCAAGGATCTATATTTAATAGCTTTCTGAAGCTGCAGCTCATTTTGTGTGTTGCTTTTTTTTTTAGTTTCCTGTCTTTAAGAAAGGAAGAAATGGTTTTACAATAGCCATTTCGTGCATTAAACTGAAATGGTCCTCCTTATCAGGTAATACTGCGCACTTTTAAAACCTTCCCTGGTCTGGTGATCCTATCAGGAATAGAGTTCTTAAAATTACCTCCCCACTCTGGCTTGGGCTTCTTCCTTTATCGAGTTGAATCTGTTATCTACTCCCTGTTTTTATAACTCTATCAAACCCTTCCAGTAATACAGTTTTAAATATTGAACAAGTTGCCACTTACTATTCTGGCTGAATACTTGAGAACTCACAAATGGCTCATC